TACGCATCTTTAATCTAGATTTTAGAAGTCTGGATGTACTTGTGTTCATTAGTATTAATAGTATGCTATAAATTTATGTTAGGTTAATCAAGTCTACTAGAGCTTTAGTGTTGCCTAGCAACTTCACTTCTGCAGGGTGTTGGTGGCAGGTGACAATAAAGTTTGATGGAGAGTGGGCTAGATATTAATTTTTTTACCGTTTGACGGTCTGTTTTGTTAGTGATATGTGATTGTGGATTGCTAGAATTGTGAATATTTCTCCGCGAAATAATTGTGAACATTTGTAATCATCTTTTGTGACTGAGTTTATAATATATTTGTAAACTTCTTCTTTGACTTTTTATTCTGGATAATAATGTGGTGAAACAGCTCGTGCCTGGGAATTCCTCTCTCACCCCCCGGCAGGAACAGTACAGACAGTGCATTGACTGACGCGTATGAAAAACTGTCATCCCACTCTGCCGTCTCCTACATGAGTAAAAAATTACTAGTTTATTGACATCTGGATTAATACGTGTCAATAATGTGAAAACTTTCGTGAACTGTGAAACTTAATTGAAAGTGAAACTGTCTAAGTCAATATGTCTGAAGCGGGTGAAAACCCCACCGACGAAGTGAATAATGACAACGTGTGTGCAAGTTCAGGGGAACAAACTAGCCCAAGTGGGGCCGGTGACCCTCAGGCTCAACAAAGTGACCCTCAGGCTGAAAAAAATGATGATTTGCCAACTGTCAATCCTGAGGACAGTGCCTCGAACGTTTCGAAAAAATCGCGAAAATCAACAACAGAGACTGCTTCAAACATGAGAATTCTAAATAGGCAAAAGGAAATCGAATTAAGAAGTCAATTAGAAGCTCACATTGAAACCAGCAGAATTGAAGAAGAAAAACGCAGACTTAGCCGTATACAAACGGAAATAAATTTACGTGCTAAGCTTCGAGCCGCCAATGAAATAGAGGGTATGTTTGTAAAATATGCAGCTACTTCGGAAAGTGAGGTGACTTTTAAACGGTCTCAAATAAAAGAGCCTTTACATATGAACAGGACTCAGAAGAGATCAAACGTATCTAGTGATAGCCTTGTGAAACCCGAAAACCATGTGGCATGTGACCCAGAGGAAATCCATGAAACAAGTGCCATGGAGTGTATTTCTTCCAATCTAAATCCGGGTGCAGAAAATTTCGTCCCAAAAACTACAGAACAATCAAATTCAGCACAGGATTTGGTAAGAGTGTTCCAACAGCTCGTTGAGCACCAAAAGGATCAAGTCTTGCCGGATCAAGAAATTGAACCGTTTTCCGGAACGGACGTGCTTCTTTATCAGACATTCATAAATAATTTTGAAGTTGTAATTGAAAATAATACAGAAGATCCCTCGAGAAGATTGCAGTTTTTGCTCAAATATACAGTAGGAGAAGCATATGATTTAATTCAGTTTACACCATTAATCAAAGACCCGGCAGATGCCTATGCTGAGGCAAGACGTTTATTGCAACGAGATTTTGGAAACCCTCAACTGGTTGCATCATCTTTTATTTCCAAAGCTAAAACTTTTGAAAAAATTAAAAATGGTGACAAACTAGCGCTAACAGTGACATGAATACCATGGACGGGAATGACTTCATAAAAATGCTTTGCAGTAAACTGCCATCTGGAATGCAGCAAAAATGGATCGCCCAAAATGGAAAAATACGTGAAAATGAAAATAGAAGTGCGAATCTAACAGACTTTGAAGCGGTTTAGGCTATCAACAGTCTCCAAGATCTACTCAATAGTCAAGTAGTACAAGAACCAATACTACACAGAGAAAGGCCTTTACGACTCAAGTAAAACCTGTGAGTGACAGTGACCCACCAAAGGAAAATTTGGCAGCCAACCCACCGTGTTTATATTGTGGTCAAGATACTAGACACTGTTTACTTGACTGTAGGAGGTTCTCATATCTTTCTTGTGAAGCTAAATCTGACGCCGTAAGAAAAATAGGCCTGTGCTATGGGTGCCTTAACCCAGGCCACATGAAAGACACATGTAAAAATAAACAATGGGTACACTGTAAGTCTTGCACTAGATCCCACATGACGGTCATGCATGATCCGTCAAAAGATAAACCGAGTGATACAAATTCTAAAGCAAAGACATCATCTTGCGCAATGACGAACTCTGTGCTCGACAAAAACGGTGAACGTGAACGTGATCCTTTAATGGCGATTTTGCCAGTTAAACTTAAAGTTCCGGCTAGTGGATATAGTATCAATACGTATCTTTTCGTGGACAATGGATTTAGTTCTGTATTTGTAACTGATGAGCTCAGTGATGCTCTGTGTATGAGAAATAAAATTGTCAATTTATCCGTGAAGACTGTAAATGACGAGAAAACCGTGAAATCAGGTCATATCACTGATCCCATTCATATAAGCAATTTAAAGGGAGAAAACCCATGTGAAATTAATTCAGCTTTCATAAGGGAGACAATGCCTGTTACTTTGGAAGATGCACCGACCCAAAGTGACCTTGCAAAATGGAAGCATTTACGTGACATTAAATTGCCTAAATTGTCTGGCATTTGTATTCCAAGCGTGTCCATCATGATTGGAATGGGTGTTCCATCAGCAACAAAACCTCTAGAAATAATAAAAGGTGAAATCGGTGAACCCTATGCAATTCGGTCGCCATTAGGACATTTATTTTATGGATTACCTGGAAAACTTGCATCTGTTAATCGGACGTCAGTTAATTTTTGCCAAATTTTCAGCAATCTTGAAAAACAAGTCAAAAAGTACTTTAACTTAGAATTCAGTGAAAGACTGTGTGATGAGAAACCGTGTATGTCTAAAGAAGACAAAACGTTTATGGAAATCGTGGAAAAAACAACCGTTTTTGAAAATGGTCATTATAAAATGGATATACCCTTTCGTGATCCAACAAAGACGGTGCCAAATAATAAAGTTCAGGCGGAACTATTTGCATTTCGATTACGCAAGAGATTATCTGCTGACAAAAAACTATGTGAACAATATGTGTAAGATGCAAATTATCACTTATTATCTTTTTATATATTTCTTTAATATTAATTTCGTTCCACAATATTTTGGTCTAAGAATGCATAAATTTTGATCAACTTTAAGCGAGAAGGTAGTCTAGATTATTTAGGCCTGTCATTGTTTTAGTTGACTTAATTTGCGCCTGGATGTAGAAGACTGTTATTTAATTGACAACTTGTTCGCTTAAGCAAGCGTGGTCTTCAGCACCAGTTTTGTAACGCTTGGAGGGCATAAAACACGGTAAGATGAATTACCGCAGCATATTAACTTATAGTTTAATCTAATCCATAAGTTTTGTAATGTGTTATAGTCATATATTGTTATTATTCGATGATATTGACAGTCGACATGCATGACTGATTTATCACATGGTTGTGCAGGTCCCAGAAAATTCCAGGCACTCATGCTATTTTATGTTTCTTTATTAAGATAGTTTATTGATAATTATTGTCAGGTGCTTGATTGGTTTATTTATCCTTTTCAGTCAATCACCACCACCACCTCTACTCTAATCACCATCACATCACCACCACCGTCATCATTATTTATTAATATGTAGCCTATGTCTCTAGTCTTGAAAGATCTTTGATCAACCGTATAAGATTTTGAGATGTATTAAACCTGTTACCAAATTAAACAATATCCTAAGAGTTTTGGTGCATTGTTGTTTGTGCCCTACAATATGTGAGTTTCATGGACAAGCTAGAGATTAACAAAGAAATGACGGACGTGTGTGGTACTTACCACATCACCCTGTGATCAATCCTAAAAAAAACCAGACAAAGTTCGGGTGGTTTTTAATTGCCCAGTGGAATATAAAGGTGTTTCATTAAACAATCTCATTTATCCTGGACCAAATTTAATGAATGGACTCCTAGGTGTTATTTTACGTTGGAGACAATGTTCAGTGGCTATTATGGCTGATATTGAAACTTACTTTTATAGAACTCGTGTATCAGCAAAGGACACTGATATGCTACGATTTATATGGTGGCCACGTGGCGACTTAAATGAAAAACCAGTCGAGTATCGTATGCTGGTACATATCTTTGGTTGTGTAAGTTCGCCTAGCTGCTGTAATTATGCTCTTAAACGTGTAGCTAGTGACAACATCAACTCCATAAGTGACTCCGTGGCTCAATCTATAGAGCAAGACTACTACATGGACGATCTTGTGAAATCGGTAGAAACTGAAGAAGAAGCCATTGAGCTTGCCCGGGAAATGTGTGACATTTTGAAATCATGTGGATTCAATTTAACTAAGTGGATATCAAATAGCAGGAACTTTCTTAAAACTGTGTCTCAAGCCGAATTAGTAGAATCATCTAAAACTTTAAATTTTGACATCGACGAGTTACCTACTCAGAGAGCATATACTGTAACCCCAATGAAGACGATAACAGTTAGTCTCGTGTACAGTAGGCTTTAATACAACTAATATACAGGTAGGTGTCATGTCATTCCAAAAACCAGCCGACAGTAAAAGACTGTAAATACAGAAATTGCAATCATAAATCTCAGTTTAAAACAGAACGAAATATAATCGAATAATTAAAGAAGAAATACAACTATTCACTATTATTTACTAAAGTGTAGACATTCACCGAAAAATATGCCCCAAACAAGTCACCATACTTCTAAAATTTGACAGCTGAACCCAGACTAACAAAGTATTTTCTCTATTTCAAACAAGACTTATATTGAATAAGATATACAGAAAACATATTAAATGGCTTAATTATGGCAGTATATACTACAAAAAGATATTTTAAAGGCTTACATTTTAATTTATCCAGGGTGAATTAGCATCTTTGAAAAACAAAATTATACAACTGACTCTATCACTAAAGAGCTTACATGCAAGGGACATAACTCTGTGAACTCACTAGGTGAACAGAACACTCCCCCCATGATACCCACAGGATATCATAAACCAAAATCCAGCATATACACAAAAACTAAACTGGAACAAAATGTGTTTACATACTTTGTATACATGCAAACGATGAAACTAAACATATTTTATGAAATATTAGAACACAAAAAGATTCAAGTACTATTTAAAGCAATATGTCAAATCTATAGACCAAAATAACAGTGTATGAAATTATGAAAAACTTTGAACCGAACACATAAGGTTTGTCTATTACACTGGAATTAGTAAAACCAACTCATGAATAGGTCTGGTATATAAAGTTATCTTTCCGTTCTTAGTTACAGTCCTAACTTCAACAGTTCGAATTTTTCCATCAGCACTAGGAAAGATTTGATTTATAACACCAAGCGGCCAACTATTGCGCGAAATCTGTTTATCTCGTAGAAGCACGACATCGGACGGTTTGAAGTCTCTTTGATCATCTGTCCACTTTCGACGTTCTTGAAGCATCTGCAGGAATTCATTCCGCCACCGCTTCCAAAACATATCTGCGAGTAGTTGAACTCGCTTCCACTGCGCTCTGTATAAGTCCCGGACATCTGAAGGGATGACAACATTACAAACAGCATCACTCTTCTGTGTGAGTAAAAGTGAAGGGCTGAGAGGGAATGGGTGTTCTGGATCTGAACTCACTGGTACCAGAGGTCTTGAGTTTATGATCGCCGTAACCTCAGCCAAGAAGGTAGAAAGCACTTCATGTGTGAGTATACCTCTAGATGTGTCTAGCAGGAGCGAGTCCAGGATTCTTCGTGTTATTCCTATAATTCTCTCCCACACTCCTCCCATATGAGAGGCATGAGGTGGATTAAATATCCATTTTGCACTAGAGACCAGTAAGAACCCTTTAATTTCAGCACTTTCAATATTGATACCAATCTTTTCTGTCGAACCAACAAAGTTTGTTCCACGGTCAGACCTGAAGAGTTGTACTTTTCCTCTGATTGAAATAAACCTACGAAGCGCGTTTAAGAAAGACGAGGTACTCATTTCTTCAATAACTTCTATATGGGCTGCTCTAGAAGAGAGACAAGTGAACAAAACTGCCCACCTTTTACTATTGGCCTGGCCTCCTCGAGTTTTACGAACCATGACATGCCATGGACCAAAGCAGTCTACACCAACCGAAGTAAAAGGAGGACCAGGAGTTAGTCTATCAGAAGGAAGTTCCGACATTTTTTGCATTCCTAATTTTCCTCTAACCTTTTTACAGGTGACACAGTCATGAACTACCGACGAAACTAATCTCTTGCCGCCTATGATCCAATAACCAGCTTCCCGTATAGCTCCTTCTGTTATGTGGCGTCCCTGGTGATTAACCTTTTCATGAAAATGACGTACAATAAGAAGAGCTAAGTGGTGTTTCCCAGGTATGAGAACAGGATTCTTGAGTTTGACAGGGATGTCCGCATTCTGTAACCTGCCACCTACACAGAGAACTCCATCGTCCCTAAGAATTGGAGACAGAGAAATCAGAGGACTGTCACGTTTAAGTGGGTTTTGATTTTTCAGGCATTTGATTTCTCTATCATAGATATCATATTGGACCACTTTAATCAAGAATGTTTCAGCTCGTTTGTACGATTCAATGTTCTTGTATTCTGAGCACTTATGCCAACCATAACAAGGTTCTTCCTTTTGTAGTGAAAAGCTGACAGCCACGTGTCTGAGGAACGCAACTGTTCTTATAAGGTTTGATAATCTTGAGAATCGTGTTATCCTAGAAACAAAGGGCGAAGCGTCCAATACTTCAAGTTCCGACTTAACAACAAAAACATCTGGACGAATTTCTCGGTCCTGATCTGGTTTAATTAGATCAAAGTCTTGAGAAACTTCAACATCTTTTGAGAAGATATGTTGTGGTCCTTTAAGCCAAGAGCTGTCTCCAAGTAGTGCTGGGGATAGATATCGTGTCCCATGGTCAGCAGGATTCTCATAAGTGGGTATGTAATGCCACTGTCCAGGTTTTGAAAAGTTCAGAATTCTCTGGACTCGATTGGTAACATAGACATAAAACCTTCTGGTCTGATTGCTAAGATAGCCTAGGACTACTCTGCTGTCTGTGAAATATGATACTGCTTCAGGCGAGAGTGACAGTTCTTGAGTCACGATTTCCGCCACTTCTATGGCTAACACAGATGCACACAGTTCAAGGCGCGGTATAGTATGTCCCTGCTTGGGAGCTACCTTAGATTTTCCGAAGACGAATCCAACATTAAGGTTGCCTTTAGTGTCCTCCGTCCGTATGAAAGCCACTGCTGCTATTGCATTCTCCGATGCGTCACAGTACACAAACAGCTCTGATTTGACAACTTCCTGATTAGGTGTTTTGTGATACGCTCTGGGTATCTTAACAATATCAAGATCTTTTAGACTCTTCTCCCACAAGTCCCACTCAAATTTAAAGTGTTCTGGCAGGGGTTTATCCCAATCTGTGGTAGTTGCCATCATGTTTCGAAGTAAAACACGTCCTTTAATAGTGACTGGTGCTGCAAATCCCAGCGGGTCGTACAAGCTATTAATAGTTGATAACACCCCACGACGCGTGTACGGTCGTGATTTAGAATCTAAGTGGAATGTAAATGAGTCTTCACGTAAGTCCCATTGTATACCAAGACTTCGCTGGAGAGGGATATCTTCAAGCTCCATATCTAATTTCACGATATCTTTCGCGATGTCTTCAACATCAAAACCTTTTAGGACCTCTTTCTTGTTTGAAGTAATTTTATGGAGTCTAACATGTCCATTCTCTTTAAGAACCTGCTGTGTCCTCTTAACCAAGTCAATGGCAGAGTTTGTGTCATCACAAGATGTTAGTCCATCGTCGACATAAAAGTTTTTGACAATAAACTCTTTGACGTCATCATCAGCATCTATAACAATTCTTCGAAGACCGAAGTTGGCGACTGCTGGTGAGGGCTTATTTCCGAAAACATGTTTACACATTCGGTATTCAATGAGAGGTTCACTGAGACGATTGTTCTTGTACCAAAAGAATCTTAGAAAATTCCTGTGATCTTCTCTAACGCCAAAACAGTAAAACATCTGTTCAATGTCACAGCTGATCGCTACAGTTCCTTGTCTAAATCTAAGCAAAACACCCACAAGGCTGTTGGTGAGATCTGGGCCTTTAAGAAGCACTTCATTTAAAGAGACACCATCGTAGACCGCAGACGAGTCAAACACTCCTCGAATTTTATCCCTTTTTTTAGGATGGTATACTCCAAAGAGGGGCAAATACCAACACTCTTCTCCAGGATTCAAGGGAGGTGCTATCTCGGCATGACCATCTTCAATTATGCCCTTCATAAATTTAAAAAAGTGTTCCTTCTTCAAGTCATTTTTCTCCAAGGAATTATGAAGTATCTGTGCTCTCTTCCAAGCCTGCTGTCTATTGTTAGGTAGTCGTTGTCGTGAGGATTTAAATGGAAGAGGTGCAGTCCATTTACAATGAGGGTCTGGTTTAAATTCCGCCTCCATCAGATGAAGAAACTGAGAATCTTCGATAGACCTGCCTGGTCTCTCACTGTCTAGATTCCGCTCGAAAATGTCTTGCGAGTCCAATAAAGGATTGTCTCTTTGGCCTACTTTAACATTAAACTGATACGGACAAGGTGGTAACAATGAAGGTCTTCCATTGCTGTGTAAATGGGTCTTGAACGTAGACACGACGGCTTCAGGACGATGTGCTCCACCTAGGCATGTTTCCCCTATCACTACCCATCCAAGATTCAGCCTTTGAGCGTAGGGAGAACCCTTACTTCCGATTCTTTGTTCGTGAACATGATGAACTTCGACGATGTCTCTCCCTAGTAATAGCAAAATATCACAATCTGGATCCAATGGATGGATATCTCTGGCAATGTCACTTAAATGCGGGTGATAATGCGCAACATCAGGTGTGGGTATTTCATCTTTATCCTGAGGAATTTGACTACATTCAGTCAGCACAGGTAAATCAAGTATTACTGTTCGGTCCAAGCTTTGAATCACAAACCCATTAGCACGTCGCCCAGAAGTTTGTGTGACTCCTGCACATGATGTCAACGAATACTGCACTTCAGGAAATGTACAGATATCAGTAAATCTGTCTAAGAGTTCCGGTTTTACAAGTGATTTATTACTTTGATCATCGATCAAAGCGTAAACCTTCAGTCTTGTATCTAGACACTTGCTATGCCATATCCAGACAGGCACGATTTTGGAACACGATTTACTTTTAAAACTATTTCCACATATTTGAGCACAAGCTGAAGTGACCGACTGCTTAAGATCAGTTAGCTCTTTATCTTGATTCCCATGAGATTTACTTGGGTCATATCTAAAGTGTACATGCATGGCTGTGCTGTGTTTATTACTACCACAATCGTCACATTTGACTATATTCTTGCAATCGCTCCATGAATGTCCAGGTAAACAGCATCGGAAGCACAAATTACGGTCTTGTAAAAATCTCCTTCTAACGTCTATAGGTTTAGACTTAAACCGTTTACATTTTAAGAGCGAATGGTTTGTGTTGTGAACCGGACATATTTCTGTGACACCATTGTTTATCACTGGAACAGCACTGTCTTTCACGTCCGATGTGGTTTTTCGAGAATGAATGTTTGGCTTTGAATCTTTAAAACGTGTAATGTTATTATCATAAGTGAAACTAGGATTGTTGCGTATACAGCTCTGTTGTCTTATAAAGTCGCAAAAACAGGTAAAAGGGGGATAAGTCACATTATAAGTCCCCATATACTTAGACGCAGTCGCTGTCCATTTTTCCTGTAGACTATATGGTAACTTACTAACTACGGGACTGACACCAGTTGATGAGTCAAAGTAAGCTAACACAGAACTATACCTGGTATCACTTTTAACTGCTTCTATTTCGGTTAAAATATCAGCAAGCTCATACAATTTCTGAGTGTCCTTAGAGGAAAGTTTTGGAAAGTTTGTGAGCCTTTTCTTCAATGACGACTCAATCACATCAGGGGAGCCGAATCGTTCATCAAGTCTTTTCCAAATTTCACGAACACCTTTGCTAGGGGCATTGAAATAAGCTGACCGTAAAGCGATGACCTGCTGTTTCGATGTTGCACCAGTCCACTTTGTAAGAAGATCCATTTCCTCTAAAGGGGTCACTGAGAGTTCTTTCATTTTATCTTTAAAGCTGCATTTCCATGACTGATAGTTTTCTGGGGAGTCATTGAAAGTTGTGAGACTTGCGAATAATAAATCCTTTTTCAGAAGTAGTTTTGTTATTTCCGATGCAAAGAACGTGTCTGTGTTTGCATTAATTTGTGGACTAAAAGGCGATGCACTTGGATTCAATGTAACTCTTTCCGCAACATGTACATCTTGTCGAGATACAGGGGAACTACCAGTAGGTCTTTTTTGTGACTGTATGGTTTCCACATAATTTTTAGTACGCGTCAATTTATTTTCTGAAGGCAGCGAAATGAGCGAGCTTCTTGATCGCCGTGATGATCCATACGCATCTAGAGCATCCGCCTCAGCCACCGCTACGGCGGCATCCTTCTCTGCAGCTATGACATCTAATTTAGTTTCTATGACAGCCTTTTGTTGTTTTAGTTTAGCTTCCTTTTCCATAAACGATAAGCGAGCCTTAGCTGCTTCAGCCTTAGCGCGAGCATTTGCTGCTTTACTCTGTATACTACCAGTACCACCATACGAAGAATTGGGTGACATTTCTGAAACTGAAGCGAGCATGGTATTGAGCTTGTATAACGTTAACTCAACTAATTGCTTTTGTTGCTGGTACTCATCTAAGTGTTCATTTTTAAGTCCAAGGCTTTCTTCCGTTCGTGTCCTTTCAAGAAAATCAATAAACGAGTTAGATAGCTGAGTGTATACAGTAAACTGCTGCTCTAAAATGCTGATAGACGTATGTGCATTTGTTTCGGTTTTCTCACTTTTCGAAACAGAATTCGTTAATTGTAGTATTTCAGCCCAACACTTTCCGAGCGTGCTAAGTTTGTGAAGAACAGACTGTGTAAACTCCTCCTGAGCCTTGGGAGTTAGTTTCCTAAGTCTTTTTCTATCACCTGTGAACTGAAACTCGGGATCAACATCAAAAGGATCTTGCTCTTCATCACTGGACATCATAATTCTTTTACTATACTGTAACCCCAATGAAGACGATAACAGTTAGTCTCGTGTACAGTAGGCTTTAATACAACTAATATACAGGTAGGTGTCATGTCATTCCAAAAACCAGCCGACAGTAAAAGACTGTAAATACAGAAATTGCAATCATAAATCTCAGTTTAAAACAGAACGAAATATAATCGAATAATTAAAGAAGAAATACAACCATTCACTATTATTTACTAAAGTGTAGACATTCACCGAAAAATATGCCCCAAACAAGTCACCATACTTCTAAAATTTGACAGCTGAACCCAGACTAACAAAGTATTTTCTCTATTTCAAACAAGACTTATATTGAATAAGATATACAGAAAACATATTAAATGGCTTAATTATGGCAGTATATACTACAAAAAGATATTTTAAAGGCTTACATTTTAATTTATCCAGGGTGAATTAGCATCTTTGAAAAACAAAATTATACAACTGACTCTATCACTAAAGAGCTTACATGCAAGGGACATAACTCTGTGAACTCACTAGGTGAACAGAACAGAGCATGGGGTGTGAAATGGTGCGCAGAAACGGACAAAATTAAATTTAAAGTGAGTAAAATAAACACTAAGTCTACACGTAGAAACATTCTGTCAGTAATGAGCTCGATCTATGATCCAATAGGTTTTGCCTCACCTTTTGTACTCCGTTGCAAAATAATTCTACAAAACTTGTGTCGTCTTAAACTGTCATGGGATGAAACTATTCCTGAGGACTATGATAGCCAATGGAAATCGTGGCTCAGTGATTTACCCAATCTAGAACACTTTGCAATTGACAGGTGTCTAAAACCAAAATCATTTGGAGCTCCTGCGAAAATACAATTGCATCATTTTGCAGATGCTTCCGCTGAAGCTTATGCTAGTGTTTCTTATGCGAGATTTGTGAATGAGCAAGGTGACATACATGTATCCTTTCTGCTTGGACGCTCACGAGTGGCGCCTATACGATCTCATACTATTGTGAAACTTGAGCTGTCTGCAGCTACCTCCTTAGTGAGAATCAACCATATGTTAACCCATGAACTTTCCATTCCAGTGGATGAAGTGTATTTCTGGACTGACAGCCAGACCGTGTTAAAATATATTGCCAATGAAACCAGTCGCCATCAAGTATTCGTATCTAATCGTCTTGCCGTCATTAGAGACGGTTCTGATCTCGATCAGTGGCGTTACGTTCCGTCAAAGCTTAATCCTGCAGATCATGCATCGCGAGGATTATCAGCTGATAGTTTGGATTCTGTGAACTGGATATCAGACCCAAAATTTTTAATGTGTTCCTCTGACTCATGGCCTGTTAATTCTTGCGAATACAATGTGCATGAAAATATGTGTAATGATAAAGATATCTTTGTGAATTCTATTAAGATATCTCAATTAGCTAAAAATATCATTGATCGCTTAATGTCTCATTATTCAGAGTATAGTCGATTATTACGTGGTGTATCGTGGTTAATGCGCCTGAAGAGTATTCTTAAATGTAAAATACAAAATCGTGATATCCCCCAAAGTTTGTGTTGTAAATCCTTATCAAATGAGGAAGTGTTAATTGCAGAGCGTGCTTTGCTTTGCTATGTGCAAAAATGTGAATTCGTGGAAGAATTTGAATCCTTGGAAAGCCAGTCTTCTAATGTCAAAATGAAAAGTTCTTTGGCCAATTTAAATCCAACGATTGTGAATAATCTAATCTGTGTTGGTGGAAGATTGCAAAATGCATCTATTCCAGATACTGCTAAAAATCAAATAATATTGCCTAAAGGTCATATTGTGTCTCAATTAATCGTAAAAGAATGTCATAAAAAAGTCGGTCATCAGGGCAGAAATCACACACTTGCTCAGATCCGTCAAAAATACTGGATAATCCAGTCTGGTGTTTTAGTTAAGAATGTGTTACGTAATTGTGTTGTGTGTAAAAGGCTAAATTCACGTGTCGGTCAACAGCAAATGGCTGATTTACCTACATGTAGGGTTCAATCAGACCAAAAGGCTTTTTCGTGCACCGGTATTGATTTCTTTGGTCCTTATGAAATCAAAATAGGTCGTTCATTAAAGAAACGATATTGTGTAGTGTTTACATGTTTTAGCTCTCGGGCTATACATATAGAAGTAGCCGAATCTTTAGACACTAGTTCTTGTGTAGCGGCGATTCGAAGGTTTATGGCTCGTCGTGGTGTACCCAAAGACTTTTATTCTGACAATGGCTCTAACTTTGTTAGTGCAAATAAACAGATGTCAAAAAGCGTTAAAGAGTTGGATCAAGAAACTTTTCGCAATCTGGGTATTCGATTTGAGTTTAACTGGAACCTTAACCCACCGACAGCGTCACACCATGGCGGTGTATGGGAAAGGATGATCAGAACAATAAGAAAAGTGCTTCAAGCAATTCTTAGTGAACAATTTCTAAAATCTAGCCAAAACGAAGAACAATTACGGACACTTATGTGTGAGGTCGGGTCTATCATAAATTCTAGGCCATTAACTCGGGTATCAGAAGACCCAAAGGACTTAAGTGTAATAACCCCGAACTCTCTGTTATTATTAGAACCGGTCGTGTCTTATCCTCCTGGATTATTTTGTAGTCGTGACATTTACGCCAAACGACGCTGGCGGCAAATGCAATATTTAGCAGACTTATTCTGGAAGAGGTGGACTATAGAATACCTTCCGTTACTTCAGCAACGTCAGAAATGGTTGCAACCAAAACGTAACTTTCAAGTCGGTGATGTTGCTTTAATCGTGGACGATAATAGTCCAAGATGCTCATGGCCCTTGGGGTTAATTCTCGAGACTTATCCTAACAAGAACGGCCTTGTAAGGAGCGTGAAATTGAGAACCCAGTTTAGCACTTTGATCCGTCCTATCGCCAAGTTGTGCTTATTATTGGAAGGAGTAGAGGCTTAGAAGTTGCACGAATAAACTTTTGTGAAAAACATTGTGAACTGTGTATACACACTCCGTGAACCTATGAACTAACTTCGTGAACTTACTAGCATTTAGTAATGTGAAAATTCCTTATCCATATTGTTATAATCACAATGTATTAGAACAGTGATGTGTGAACTATGTTTTAGGACTTCGCCTGTGAATTGTTTTGTTTGCTTGTTTATTTACGTTCATTTTTTGGTTTAGAACTAACTTGTGTATATTAATTTGGACATTTTTTGTTTTGTATCTTATCTCTTGTGTTCCGATAAGATAGGGGCCGGGATGTAATGTCCAAGTACTCATCTTTAATCTAGATTTTAGAAGTCTGGATGTACTTGTCTTCATTAGTATTAATAGTATGCTATAAATTTATGTTAGGTTAATCAAGTCTACTAGAGCTTTAGTGTTGCCTAGCAACTTCACTTCTGCAGGGTGTTGGTGGCAGGTGACAATAAAGTTTGATGGAGAGTGGGCTAGATATTAATTTTTTACCGTTTGACGGTCTGTTTTGTTAGTGATATGTGATTGTGGATTGCTAGAATTGTGAATATTTCTCCGTGAAATAATTGTGAACATTTGTAATCATCTTTTGTGACTGAGTTTATAATATATTTGTAAACTTCTTCTTTGACTTTTTATTCTGGATAATAATGTGGTGAAACAGCTCGTGCCTGGGAATTCCTCTCTCACCCCCCGGCAGGAACAGTACAGACAGTGCATTGACTGACGCGTATGAAAAACTGTCATCCCACTCTGCCGTCTCCTACAGGACTTACCCCCTGCGTCTCTTGTTAGTATAATAAAATATTAATGGATTTCTTATACGCTCACATTGCTATGTAGGCGAATTATATCGTCACCTTGTCCGCCTGTGAACAATTTGCATGTGCACGCGATATAAACTACAGTTTTCCACGGGTTCCTTTCAAATTTGGTGTGAAGCATTGTGGTCCTGAGAGGATAAACCCTAGTAGTATAGGTCGGAAGCATTGGGTTCATAAGAGGATGAAATTACCCCCCCCCCCCCAGGGACCCTTCTCTCAGAAACAATCGCCAGTAATGAATAATAAATATACTTCTTATTTTAAAGTGGCCAAGGAAGCACAAGCCTTTCTAACCTCGTTATCGAAACACTATGCATAGTATATACTAAACAGCAAAAAAAAAACGTCGGTACGATTTTAAAATTAGAGAGGCACTTTAATCAAATCATTCTAGAAAACGACTTACTAAATGGATCAAAGCAATTTTTTGTGAACAGTATGTTGACACATTCGTGATTAATTCATCACAATTCCAGGGCATTACGGGAAGGTTTAGAGTCTGTACACAGTCTGTACATCCGTATTTGGTGTGTCCACCGCGAGTGTCAATAAAAGAATCGCAGCGTCTGTACATGGAGCGGCCAGACGATTGATGATTGATGAACGCCATGGGCACCTGTATAGCCTGGCGCAATCCATCGGCTGTGTGTTTGGGAAGGAGCCTAGCTTATTGCCCAGGTAAAGTTGGAGATGTGGTCACAAATATACACTAAAAACATTTGGCAAGTTCTATGCAATGCGTTTATTCAGAGTAACATACCAACCTGATGTTTCTTTTGCTGCTTAGTATATATCTAACTTCACGATCTGATTAAACATACATTATGCAAGAGCTAAATCTGCCTGTTGCAGGTCTTTCCTTAGGCCTGAAATGTTATCTAAATTATTAATTAGACATTAATTAACTTATCCAGACCATAATCAACTCTCTATGTCATCGCTAGCCTGCGATGTTTATTGGTTTAGGTTCCGATTTGCTGTTTGACTTCGATTCATGATTTAATCATGAAATGGATAATCGAGACTATGTTTTTATCGTACCAACATTAGTAATGATGATCGAAGCTAGGCCCAAAATTCAATCGCTAAATTCTCGGTTCAGAGTGGATCAATTCGACTGAAATTTTCAGCAAATTCCTTTTACATTATCTATTTTTTTAGCTATTATAGCGAGAACTGTCAGCTCTTTATCTAATCTCCCATAATGCATCTTTAAAGAGATTTTGGATACAATAGACTATCAGCCTACGCCTATAGTAAGAAAACAAGCATGAGGGACAATATTAGTAATAATTGTATATAGTATTCCTTTTATACCTCTAGCTATTTGTGTACTTTGTTTTGTTTTTAGTTTCTTTGTGTTTCTTTTTGCTCTACTAAATGAATACAGTATAGCTTTCAATAATCAATCAATGTTTTTGTATAATTATTGTTTTGAAATTTTAATGAGATTATAAGATATGATGTTACACACTGTGAATGTAATGTGAACAATGCAATATGTCGTTTTAGTGATTTCCAAAGAAGGACTAGAAAAAAAAGGAAGAAACAATCGCCAAACCTTGTTCCCCGAGAAATTGTCATGGGTGGAGGTAGAGTGTGCCCAACTATTGCTATTTCAATTAGCCACTGAGAATGAAAAAAAAAACGAATTTTATTTTCCCGATTCCCGTGTTTCAGAAGATAACAATCTAATCTAATATTAAACATGTATCACAACGGTTATCGTAAGT